TATTTTCGAAATAAGTTGCGAAAAATTTACTCTGATAAGCGGGGTGTTACACCATGTGCCTGTTTTTGCTTTATGTGATATCGGTGCTACCCATTTGTTTATCTCATCTCGTTGTTTGGAGGCCTTATCTATTAGCACCGTGCATGGTTGTGATCCTCTCGAGGTTAGTTTGGCCTCGGGAAAAATTATTATCTCTGATTCAGTGGTTCGCAATCTTCCTATCTGTATTGGTGGTCGAGTTCTGGAGGTCGACGTCTATGTAATTGATATGCGAAACTTTGACGTGATCTTGGGCATGGACTGGCGCACCCGTTACTGAGCCAACATCCGATGCCAGGAGCGTGAATTCACCCTCTATCTCGTTTCCGATCAGCCTGTTGTGTTCTTTAGGGTGAGTTCGAGGACCGTGCCTCGGGTCATCTCTTCTATGCAAGCTAGGAAGAGCCTTTCCATGGGTAGCTGTCAAGGCTATTTTGTTTCTATGGTATCCGACGATGTTGATGAGCGGGTGCCCGAGAGAGTATCTATTGTTTGCGAGTACCTCGACGTTTTTCCGGATGATTTGCCTAGAGGACCGCCCGACCGCCAGGTGGAGTTTACCATTAACCTAGTTCCAGGAGCCGGCCCCGTTTCTAAGGCCCCTTACCGTATGGCGCCGAAGGAGCTTCAAGAGCTCAAGGCCCAGACCCAGGAGTTGCTCAAGCTCGGTTTTATTCGTTCGAGTGTCTCGCCGTGGGGTGTACCCGTCCTATTCATGAAGAAGAAAGACAGATCTATGCGCATGTGCATTGATTACCGGGAGTTGAATGCCCTTATAGTTAAGAACAAGTACCCCCTTCCCCGTATTAAGGACCTTTTCGACCAGCTGAGAGGAGCTAGCGTCTTCTCAAAGATCGACTTGCGTTCTGGCTATCATCAGCTGAAGATCCGAGAGTCAGACATTTCCAAGACTGCTTTCCGTACCCGCTATGGCCACTATGAGTTCGTAGTCATGCCGTTCGCACTCAGCAATGCCCCAGCCGTTTTCATGGACCTTATGAATAGGGTCTTTGATCCTTTCCTGGACCAGTTCCTCATTGTGTTCATCGACGACATTCTGGTCTATCCCCGAGATATCGATCAGCACAAGGAGCATCTGAGGATTGTGCTGGAGACTCTTCGCTGCGAGAAGTTGTATGCTAAGTTCTCGAAGTGCGAATTCTGGCTAAACCGTGTAGCATTCCTTGGCCACATTGTGACAGCAAGAGGCATTGAGGTGGATCCCAGCATGATTGAGGCGGTGAGCAAGTGGGATACGCCGAGAAGTGCCGCTGATGTTCATAGTTTCCTGGGATTAGCAGGATACTACAGGAGGTTTATCGAGGGCTTCTCGAAGATAGCCTAGCCGCTGAACAACCTTACGAAGAAAGTCGTGCGGTTCGATTGGAGTCCTCAGTGCGAGGAGAGTTTCCAGGAGTTGAAGAGGAGACTCACTACCGCGCCTGTCCTATCTATACCCGATCCTACTTTGGAGTTCACGATCTATAGTGATGCTTCGAAGATGGGTTTGGGATGCGTCCTTATGCAACAAGGGAAAGTCGTAGCCTATGCTTCGAGGCAGCTGAAGTCTCACGAGCAGAACTACCCCACTCATGATCTCGAGTTAGCTGCAGTTGTCCATGCCTTGAAGATTTGGCAGCACTACCTCTATGGAGTCAAGTGTGTGATCTTTCCCGACCACAAAAGCCTGAAGTACATTTTCACTCAGAAGGAGCTGAACATGAGACAGGTAGATGGTTGGAGCTGGTCAAGGACTATGACTGCACCATTAGCTATCACCCTGGGAAAGCTAATGTGGTAGTCGATGCCCTTAGTCGGAGGAGTTATGGCCAGCTATCTTGCTTGTTTACCGGGCAGGATGTCCTTCTTTGGGAGTTCGAGCGGTTACAGCTAGAGGCAGTAGAGTCTACTTCGATAGCCGGGGGCGTGTTGGCCTCTTTGGTTGTGGGACTGACTCTTCGAGAGAGGATAGTCGCCGAGCAACCGAATGACCGTTTCTTATGCCGGATGAGAGAATTGTCCGAAGCCGGTAAAGTTGGTGGATTCGCAGTCGCATCTGATGGGGCCTTGGTCTTCAAGGGTAGACTTTGTGTTCC